ATATATATATATATATATATATATATATATATATATATATATATATATAACCCTGGAGTACAATATGTAATTTCTCCACTTCACTGTCTCGCTCTGTTCCGCTCCAACTTTTGTCCCTTGTCTGGTATATGAGTCATACCTAACATCTTAAAGCGCAATTATGTGCTTTTACTACACCGGTATAATGATATTTGTGTGTGTGCTTATAATAAATTTACCATTCTTTGTTAACGTAATTGTAAAATATCAAAATTTGTTTTAGTTGTGATGTGCTTGGAATGGATTCCATCTATTTCTCACAAACTCTTTCATAAGGGCAGTTTAAAAGCACTGCCAACTATGTGGCAAAATTCAAATTTGGACACATATATGCTTCACGCCACATGCGAATTGTTGATATGTTTATGAGAAGAATATCAATTGACATGGACATACATAAAAAACTAGTGATGATGATAACCATAACAACAAAAATAAATAAAAAATATTCAAAAACAGGCACGAATCTCAACACACATTTAGTGTTGAAGCTTCAAAAATTAATTTGAAATACCCATTTTCCAATTTATGATCATAAAACGTCTCTCATTGAGACAAACCAAATGACATAAAAAAATGGTTCGATCTAAGTCTAAGTGAGCGAGGATCACAGACCCACTGCATAATAAGAAGCTTTGAAATATATTTTGGGATCAAATGATCTCCATATCTAACAAGTTCACGGTCATATAAAGTGTCTCGACAAGACGAATTCAATGAGCACAATACCACTTAATTATGACATCATTAAGGCATTAAAATGCTCATAAATTTGTATTTGATCAGGGGAATTATGATGGACTATCCAATAGAGTGGTCTAGATTGATGCAATATTTATGGAGGAAGCCACTCCTAAATCTATAAATAGAACCCACTCTCTTCATGAGGGAGAACCTGAACATGGATCCGAACCAAAATCTGTGCCTGGAGGAGAAGGCTGGAGTTAACTCCAAGCTCTTGAGGATTCCCTAGCTCTACTGTTGACAGGTCGTCATCATCAAGCCGCTGTCGTCGTTGGACCACCAATGCCAAGTCCCCATCACTATCAAAGTTATATAGTTAACGCTGTTGTGAGACTATAATGGTCTGATCATCGTCGCTTCCAGATGACCATTGCTTAGTCACAACCATCGCTGTCGGCCCATCGTTATCGTCAAACCATCGTTGTCTAACCCCCACCATCATCATCGTCGGACCACCACAGTTTGGTCACTGCTGGCAATGAACTGCCACTGTATGGGCACTGCTATTGTCTGAATGTCCACTGTTGAACCACCACCGTTGGGTCGTTGCCATTATCAGGCCGTTGCTGGTTAACCACCATTATCTCAGCCATTGGGCCACCATTGTAAGCAGCCGTCATCACCGGACCACCGTTGTCTAACCACCATCGTCCCCGCGCGCTATACCAAAGTTGTTTGGCCCCACAATCATCAAACCATTGCAACCTGACCACCACCACCATAGCGGTCGAACCACTGCCATCAGATCGATGTTGCCGTCAAATATCTACTACTAGTTCTTCATCATCATTGTCATTGGACCGCCGTTGTCGATATGTTCCTACCAACAACCCCGACATCAAATTTTCTAGCACATGAGCTCAATACTCATCTTTCTTTCATAGTAATTGGGTCACCACCACTTATCTAACATAGTCTGCCGCTTGACTGACGAAAGTCATGTTGATAACCCCAACTTGTGTAACATTACTTATGTCTATTAAAAGGTCAGTGAAAGTCTTGTAATCGGGTAACCCTTTCGTGTTTTTTATGTGAAAACCCTGGTGTTCCATCTATCAACCTTTCTTTTAAGCGTGCTTGTAGATTATCATATAATGTTAATACATTGATAAATCACCCTATCACTGCGAGTTTTCCGACACGCAAGAAACAAAAATACGAGTAAGAAGAACATTAACATAATTTTTACTAATACGGATGGTATTTTCTTCATTCATAAATAATGCATATTAGTATTATACTCCTTCATAAATAATGCATGCCTTGCACTTTGTAGAACCTAACCAATACCCCTTCATTTAAACACTCATAATAATGTTATGATGGAACCTAACATCTTTTCAGGCCAAAATTGTGTCTTACGATTAGCTTTCATGCCAAAGATCATGCCACATATTAAATTAGGTTGTAGACTTTAGAATGGGGTGCATAACCTTTATTTGAAGATTAAAAAACAAAAAAAATAGGGTTGAAAATGTAAAAGAATACATTTTATCAAATTAATGTCAAACATCATAAAAATATGCAAAAAAAAGTCAAAAAACGAGCTAAAAAACTTGGGAGAAGTGCTAAAATACTTTTAAATCTATGCAATTTGAAACAATTGCACTACTTCCTTTCAAGTATATTTATGCAAAACCCCCCATTTTTTAAATTCACACAAAAAAACTTAAATTATAATATATATTTACATAATTGGATATAAATATAATAAAAAATGTTGGATTTAAGAGTTGCAATTTCTTAACATGGCAATGTTTAAATTAAAATTGACTTAAATCCCTTATGAGAAAGAGCAACATATGGCTTCATTTGCATTAGAGCTCAAGAATGATGTACATATGAGAGAATTTACATACATACCACTCAATTCTTATATATTTACATAACTAGCACCTAAAGCTATTATGCACATTTAAAATATTTTGTTGTCATAAACTTTACTATTAAAAAATAGTAATAATAATATTTTCATCTGATATTAAATATTCGTGTGTTGTGGATGTAAAACTAAAATTTAGAAGTTAAAAATATATAATGAGGCATTTACAAACACGCCGCTCAATTCTTATGTATTTACATACCCAAAACTTAAACTTTATTATTATTTTTTTTATATTTATACCAATCATTATTTTCATATTAGATAAAAAATACCATCATTTTTATATTTAGAAGGTGAAATACAAATTTTCATACACATGTAAGATGACATATATGTATAAAATATAAGTTTGCGTGTATTTAGATACATAAGAATTAAATGGAGTATATAAATAGTTA